AATCTCCACAATTTTCCTGTTACAGAAAACAAAATTATATTAACCAATCGATTATGAATGCATGAACTAGTAAGGTAGAATATCATACTCATGTCCCTCATTGGGTGGAATAGACTTTGTACAGTATTGGTAAACTTCTTTCTCTGTACATTATCCTCTTTTTGCCTTCCCTCTATCATCCAAAAAGGGTGAACGAATAGTGCTGACTATTTGTTGTTGTGACCGTCTTAGTGTCCTTTCACCCTTAGAGTCTTTTTTTTAATTAGCTTTTCTACTTCTTCTTGTGCACCCGATTCTCCCTCCTTTTCATTTTTATCTCCTTCTACTTGTCCTTCCTCTTCTTCTTTTTCATCTTCTCTGGATCCCCCTTCCTCTTCATTTTCATCTCCTTCTACTTGTCCTTCCTCTTCTTCCTTCTCATCTTCTCCGAATTCTCCCTCCTTTTCATTTTCATCTCCTGTCTCTTCTCCTTCCTCTTCTTTGTCATCATGTTCCAACTCTTCCTCCTCTTCCTCTTCACCATCATGCTGTTCAATAACTTTCTCTCCTCTTCTTTTATCTTGGAGCTTGAGGAGTTTTTGTGCAATTCCACGTGTAAAGGTCACAATATCTTTGTATACCTCTTTTATGTCCTGCACCATATAAAATGTCATATGTTTAAAATTATATAAAAAATAACTTTGCTAATTAACAACCATCATTTTGCCCTTACCGGATCATAAAATGAAGTCATTTCTAGAAGCTTTACTGAGAAGCTGTCATGTCCTCGAGAAGGGTGATACAAAATGCCATGATCACTTGCCTTCTCAAGTTGAACTCGTGCTGTCACTCTCTCCTCTATCCAATGTTCCAGAGCATCTTCTTGCGATGACACCATAATTGGCTCCAATGGAAACATTTGAAAGTAGAAAATCTGCTTATTTACATCTATATCATATAACCCACAGAATTTTGCAAAATAATTAACTTATAACATATTATATCTTAATTTACCTACATACCGCAAGAAAAAATAAGCATCCTCCAACAGTTTTTTTGTGCCCATCCTTCTTCTCCCATGCTTTATATTTGGCTACCTCCTTTTCAAGCTCAGATAGTATAAAAGATTACCAATCATAATGTACAGTTCCCAAATTTAACTCGGACATGACTTTCAATAGTTTATCACTTATTTTGGAACTTGAACTTGGACAAAGAAAATTCCCTAAGCAATAGAGAATGAAGAGAAACTCAAATTTATCATTTTCTTTCCCCGAGAGTATCCTGTCCTTAATTACATTATAGGATACTTTTTTAAACTCCTTATTTAACAACTTTAATTTATTCTTATCCCCATTCATATCAATTATCTCCCCATCATTAGGCAAACCAAGTAAGGCATGAACTGCTTTGCAATTGATGACTTTCCTTTGACCTCTAATGAAAAGGGATGATGTAGGAGGATCAAATGCCTTCATCACTTCGTCGCATAAATCTCTAGGAAACTTGTGACATTTAATATTTAAAAGCTTACTAAATCCTATTCTATTAACCCTATCCCGTAAAGATTTTCGCTTTTTGATATAATCAAAAACTTCCTTTATCTTTGTTGGAGAACACCTTGTCTCAAATAGAATCTATCCAAGTAAAACAAGTCAACACCATTACTTGAATTCATCACATTTTTCATGCTTGAAGTCAAAAACAACATACCTCATAAGCTTTTATACCAGCGTTTTCCTCCTTAGCCAGACACTTATAGTGATCTTGTTCTTCTGATGTCAAATTTTTCCATGCTGCAACTGCTTCTGCGTTGAATTTTTTCAAATCATTTCCCTGGGTTGTATACTTGCCATGATATGCCTCTTTGAACTTGCTTAAACCAGAACAACTTTTTTGCCTTAACGGATTCCCTTTTGTTTTAGCCATTATCTTGCACATTAACAATTAGGGTAAAAAACAAACTACTATTGAATATATCTAACGTCACCAATGAATACACAAAATAATACTATTAGATTTACCAGACATGAAATCTGAATTTTCTCCATAAAACATACGAGGGTCAGGGAAAGTCATAGTCACAGCCTCCCTAACTTCGCTAATTTTTTGGTCAAGATTGCATTTGTCTTTTACACAAGCAAATTTTCAAGTCGGAAGAATCTTGCCAAACTTTTATTTTATGAGGACATTATAAGAGCTTTAATGTCAAATTAAGACTTTTCAACATTAATGTTTCTAAATTTCAGTACTCCTTCAACCATGTTTTAATACTAAAATTCCTTATTTGGCATTAATGTTATTACAAGCTCTTTATTTGTCATTCTCCCTTATTTTTAACTATTTTATTAGTCTATAATATCTTATCGACCTTTCTGCTACAATCTATATTTATGTTTTTCTTCTATTATGAAAAGGAAAGCTTTTCCAAATCCAGAGACCAAGCACCAAACATGCCAATGTAGAACCTAAGTTTCGGTGCAACACATGGAAGGAATCAAGGAAGAGTCCAAAGTCCTTGTTAAGCAGTGCCTTTCTCCCTTTTGTAACGGCCCTATGTTTTAAAACAGCCAGCTATGGGCCGATTTTCATTGCTTCTTGAAAGACACATAACCAACTGTTACAAAATTTCCAGTTCATTGCCAGTATATGTGCTCGGCTAGCAAAAGAACAGAACAAAATAAATTCATCTTACAACATAAAAATACCAGACGAACAAAAGGCTTCTCACTCTTTCTTCCCAAATTCATGGCAAAATCATGGAATAGAGTAAAAAATCAGGTTCGAATATCGCATAAATATAAACAAATATGGAACTATTTTGGGATCACAAATCAATATTACTGCAGTTTCTTCTCTTTTGCAAATACCTTACTGGAATGACACTAGGAAAAAAAATGCACAATCAACAACAAACACAAAATCATTCTCGCCCCCACCGAAGAATAGACCGAGGGATGGAAGGAGAGAGAGAGAGAGGTAGAGAGAGGCACCGAACCTGGAAGAAGAGAAGAGGGGGTACCGGACACAGAGCACGCACACTGGACTGAAAATGGGAGCAACAATAGAGGACCTCTCACCAGCGATTGCACACCCCTGGACCTGATACAGAGAACCCGATCATCGACTAAGTAGCCGGCCGAGCTGAAATAGAGGAAGACGACGAGAAGGAGCAACCGAGGAAGACACCGAAACAGAGCAGGAATAGGGCTCTTTCAATCGCGGTACCTTTGTTTTGAGCTCAGGGGCATTTTCGACAATTCAATGTTTTTTTATCCCCATTAAGGACCACGGTCCTTATTTGGAATTTCTATTTTTCAGGATCCCTAATTGAAATTAATATCCTTAGGGGGTCCTTAACTGTCATTCTCCCTTGTTTAAATAATGTACCCTGTTTAAAGATAGGGTTATGCAAAAGTCTTTAGGTCTAATTTGACTCAGTCTGACTTGAAATATTTCTATTCAATCCTGTCTGTATAAATATTAGTCCTTTAAAATTAAAAAGATTGAAAAAATTAAACTATTTCTTTTGGCTGGACTAGATAAGAGGCTAGGCATCTAGATTAATTGGTCCATTCCGGTTCTATTAATTTATTCAATATAATTATAATTAATTTATTTTTGACAAATGCTTTAAATATAATTGACGTTAAAGAGATGATTATATGAAAATTTATTGAGTTTGTTTATAAATTATTGTTGTAATATAATGTTATTGAAATTTGTTGAGTGTTGTCTTTGTTGAATTTGTAAATTTAAATCACTTGAACTGTCACTGAAATATCATTTTCTTGTTGTTGAAAATTATTATGAATTTGTTATAATTATAAGTGTTTTTATTATTTTAATTGAGTTTATTAAGTTAAAATTAATTATTATCTCTCATAGATAAAAAAAACAGCTAAGTAAGTATTAGACTGATAGGACCAATTTTTGAATTCTATGAATCAAATTTAGTTCTATTAATTTTTAGATTATCATTAAATAAAATTGAATTACAAATTGCCTAATTATTATTATTATTTTTTATAAAAAGATTAAACTTCATGTTAAGGTAAAATACACCACCATTCAGTTTTTTATGTAACCCTACTTGAAGGTTGCATCACTTGACCTTCTTCCCTACTTCCCTTGAGGGAGAAAGCACAAATAATGGAGAGAAAAACGACGCCAATTCTAGTCGTCGGATTACTATTACCTTTTCTGGATTTTTCAAAGATTGTTACATTTGGGGCGTTGACTTTGAAAATCAGAAGACCGCCGAATCATAGATCTTTGTAGACGGCAAGGCTATCGACTTCGAACACAATGTTTGATGCGAGACTAACATGGTGGTATCTACTACAATTGACTTGGACTTTTCAAAATGGGCACAGAACTTTTTTTGCTATCATCAAGTGCCATTTTGATCCTTAATAATTGGAGCAGACGAGCTCTTAGGCGTTTGCGAGTCTCTCTCTTGGTTTTCGTGCTTGCTGAAGTTCTGACTATGGAACCTTGCTTCCAGAGAAAACAACCACCAGATTGTCCTCCGGGGGAACTGGAGAAGGTTGCTAGCAAGCAGAAAAAAGCGAAGGCATCTGGCTCTGAGTTCTGTGACCCAATACTACTGGAAAGTAAAGAGAAGGCCAATGAAATGTCGGTGAACTTAGAAGACAAGTTCCCACCGCTGAATAGAAAAGAGGCGAATGAACAGAGAAAAGACATGGAAATAGATGAGGCTGTGTCAAGCGCTACCAAGGTGGCACCTTTGTCTTATAAAGCATCACTCATGGGGTTTAATGGAGTTGCTAACGGGGATGTGGTAATGGAAGTTGATGATCACATGCAAGAGGGTGAGGATATACCATGGAAATTTCCAGAACCTACAGAAGAGATGAAAGAACTTATGAAGATATACCCAATGGTCCCGATGACTGAAGAGGATTTTCAAGATGGAGCAAGCCTTAAAATCAAGCACTAGTTCTCACGGTGCTTGGGAAACGTCTTCGTATGAGTGATCTTAGAGGTGGCTTAGCAAGATGTGGTGCATACCTGAGTTTGAACTTATTGACTTGTGCAACAACAACTATGTGGTGAGATTTACAGATCTGGACCAGATGAAGGCAAAATATCGTAAGGTTCTGTTCGAAGGGCCGTGGGTTATTATGCAGCATTGCGTGCTAATCCAGCGGTGGTCTCCCTACTTTAACCCTTTCAATAACCCCTTAGGACAAATTGCTGTCTGGGTAAGAATTCCAGATATTCCTATGCATTGCTATAATAAGAAGTTCATTTGGAGATTAGGAGAAAGAATTGGAAGACCTTTGAAAGTTGATATGTGCACATTATCTGACATTTCTAAAGATGTTCCAATAAAAGAAAGAGGAAGGTACACTCCTATTTGTGTAGAATTAGATTTGCAGAAAAAATTAGTCCCCAAAGTGATTGCTGCTTGCTCGGTTTTTAATGTTGAATCTAAAGGTTTGAGGCTTATTTGCTTTAATTATGGTCAATTCGGACATCGCCGAGAAACCTGTCCTTGGCTTGTACATGGTGATACAGAAAAACCTCAACAAGTAGACATGTCTTCACAAACAGATTATTGTAGATCGATGGGTTCTCATCCAGCCCGTGCTTCTCCAATGACGAATATCAAGAAGGAAGGAGTGGGATTTGGTTCTTTTATGCTTCCCAATGCATCAAATTATCGGATATCAAGGTCGACTGTTGTTCGCAATATTCAAGGTGGTCAGAGTAAATAGCCCTCGGCTTACGTACATGATGGTAATCACATCTCAAAATCTAGATTCAGCGTTCTTGTTGATGAGGAGCAGGCAGAGGCTTCTGGAGGGAAGATGTCCCTCTTTATGAATGAAGATGATAAGACAGTGGGGAGAAGGAAGGCAAGTCAGAAACTTGTAGAAAGTAGGGCTGCACCTAGGAAATCTAATATGAAGATAGTGAATAGACAGATCTTACGTGACCAGACCTCTGCACGAGGTGTGAGTGGATTTTTTTCACTTTTTATCTTTCCATTTTTTTTTATTTTTTTCATTTTTATCGTTCATTAATTTTATTATTTAAAAAAATTATTTAATAAAATAATTTGAATGACAAGGATGAAGGAAGTGAAAGAAAAGAGAGAGAAAAAAAATGAAGAGACTCTTCCCCCACACGAGGTAGAGGAAAAATGAAGTCAAGTGGTAAGGAGAATAAATTCCTATTGGGCCAGCTTTCAAACGGGCCGATAACTACAAATGGGAAAGGACCCCCAGAATATAGGCCGAAGGAAAGGGGAAGCGAACAGCATCCTAAACAGAGATCTCACATTGTTGTCCAAGGGAGTTCTCTGAACTTGGGCCAAGGACAAGTTATTTCAGCCCAGGCATCTTCAAAGGAATTAAAGGCCCCTTTACCTGTAAATTCTGATTTGCATTCTAAGGAAGGCACTGGAAATATGGCGGAACAAATGTAGGTGATGACCCCATGTCAACAGAAGGTGGCAACAGACCCTCCTGACCCAGCGTGGCCAGTCCGACGTCGCAGGAAACTGATGATGATGAGAAAATTATGGCCACTGTTGCCACGACCGAGAGGATTTCTTCTCAGAGTAAAAGTATGAGGCGCCTGAATTCGAGGCATTAACCTTGGATTTGTTTCCTTTTTATGCGTCTTATTAATTTATGATTATTATTAGTTGGAATTGCAAAAGGGCAGGTGGTCACACTTTCCCCACTTTGATTAAAGAAAATGTAAGTAAATATTACGTTGATATCCTTTGCCTTCTGGGGCCTCGTATCAGTGGTAATCGGGCTGATCAAATGGTTAGGAAACTTGGGTTCACTGATCAAATTGGCCTCTCTATACTGCATGCCGTGATGTATGGATCACAAGCCGCGGCCCATGTACTAAAATATTTAAAAATGATATTTTTTTATCTTATTTTTAAGTATTTTGCTTCCTAAAACTTTTCTATGCTTCCCATATCTTTATAAATCATTAAATTTGAGTTTAAACTATTTATTTAAAATTTTTTTATAGAATTTCAAATATTTCAAATTATTTTTAAAGATTATTAGCTTTACCTTTTCTGTATTATACTGTGAACTTAGGAGTAATCTATAACTCCTAATGATGATAATTTATTGTGATTGTGTGGTGAATTTAGGTAATGTCAAAATGAATATTACATTTTTGGCTCTGTTTTCAAATGTTTTGCTTTCTAAAACTTTTTTATACTTCTCATGTCCTTATAAATTATTAAGTTCAAACTCAAACTACCTATTTAAAAGGTTTTTATGGGATTCCAAATATTTCAAATTATTTCTAAGAATTATTAGCTTTACCTCTTTTGTATTATAGTGTGAACTTAAGAGTAATCTATAACTTCTAATTATGATAATTTGTTATGATTGTGCGGTAAATTTTGATAAAGTTAAAGTGGACATTACAGATGAGGTCAACAACATTCACTAAAATAGTGATGGGAATCGAATAAAAGAAGCAATACTGTTGCGTCTTTCATGTATCAAGTCAACTATGATCATTATAATTGAATGTACTTACAGGATTAATAAGTTGAACCAAGCCATCACACAGTTAATAATTTAAACTAGATCAACCAACTATATAGTATAATGGCAACCTAGGTCATCTTCTAAAGAGGTGTTTAAAGATTCAATTCAGGGCTTTGTAATGCAATTAAATTAAAATAAAAGTGGGCCAAATTGTGTTAAATTGTGAAAATTTATGAATGTGGAAATGGGCCGTTGAGTGGCCAAATTGTGATATATGTGTGTATTTATTATATAGCTTGGTCAATCAAGTGTAATAAGTCATTTTGGACTTAGTTCAAGACCTTATGTGATCTAATGAGACAAGTGGATCAATTTAAGTGCTCGGGTGCATGAAATTGTTTGAAAAAGTGACTTTTTACACTTGGGTGTCTAAATTTTGATTGGACCATTAGATCATGTTCAAACCTATCTCATTAGCTAGTTTATGAGATAAGCTTCGTGTGGGCTTTTGAATCACTTCGATCGAATGTCGTATGAGAAAATGACATATGCTGGAAGTTTATTATTTTTGCTGTTAAATGATAGCAGCAAATTTAGACTTGTACGTCGCGACACATGGTGTGTCACACCACAGTGTATGAAACAAAGAAGTTCAGGCATGTGGCTCTGTGCCACATGTCGTGACACATGTACTATACACCACAGTGTATTGCCCATAACTTGACCTAATTTTGTACTATGATGCATGCATAGATTTATATGAATGCTTACGACTTGTTTCCGCTGTGTGTCCTCTAAAAATGTTATGATTTTTATGATTTTGCAAAATGAGTCTTGGGCCCAAGCTTTTCAAACAAAGTAATTGATTACTGTTTGGTGTGATTAGTGTGAAGATTTAGTTAATCTTTTCCTATATTTGGCAAATATAGGAGAAATTTACATTTTGCATTTTGTAGGTGCCCTGATTGAGATTTTTTCCTATCCCATTTTCCTTCATATGCATTTTCTCCTTACGTCTAACCTGCTTGAATATTAAGGGAACTAGTTCCTGTTAACCCCTAAAAATTCATGTCATTTTATCACATTTTTTTAGATTCTAATCCATTTTGACTCAATTGTATATATTTTTATTGCCCAAATTAGAAAAATATGTATTTTGTTTTGGGTTTGTATTCTTAGCATTAGTTTTATATTTTTGGCCTAATTTCGTATTATTTTGCGTTAAGGTTTGATTAAAAGCATTTTTTGACCTTTGTTGATGCTTTTGGAAGGATTTTGAATGAAGAAATTAAGTGCAAAAAGAATAATTTTCATTAGCTACAAATATAGTGCAAAACTGCTAAAGTCGTCCCAAAATCGTGACTTTTGCCGCTGACAGCAAAATACTCCGTTTTATTTATCTAAAAATATTTGGGCATGATTCATATATGATATGAGCTCAACCCAAAATGCATTCTACAGACTTTAAGACATATTTAGAGCTTGAGTGCGCTAGGGTTTAGGCAGTGGAAGTGCTTGAAGCAAGGGAATGGAATTTTGAAGACATTTGGAGCTCCTTTTTTTTTTTTTTTTTCAGTTTTTCTATTCCTTTTTCCTTTTGTATCTTGTGATATGAAATGGGTACAATTATTTGTATATTTGTAGCTTGTGGATGATTATGAATAGTTAAACTCTTTGTTCTAGGATTATTTGGAACCCTTGTATGGATTAATACTAAGTTCCTTCTCTCTTTTTATGATTAATGATATATATGTATTTGTTTTACTCTTTTCTTAATGCTTCTAAGTGTTTGCCATCATTTAGATGTTGGGTTCACTTGATTAATGCTTGAGAGGGCTAGGTTGAGTGTATAATTTGGATAAAGTAGTGCAAGAATTTGATATTTGCATGCTGAATGGATAGTTTTGCTAGTAAGATAGAGATATACTAATTAGCCTTACATAGCCACATTAAAATTAGTGTTTAAAATTGAGTTTTATTAATTGTAACAAGAGATTGGGCAATTAATTTAACTAAGCACGTGTTTATGACTTGAGAGATGTAAAGTCCTAACTCAATCTAAACTTTACCATTACAATCACACATAAAACAATACAACTACAAATCAATATTAGAATAGTATTTCTAATAGCTCTTTATTTGTTTTCAAATCATAGGATCCTGACTTTTTAAAACACAAATTCAAATAAAAGGGCTAATGGAAGTGCAAACGCAATCATACAACTTAAAGAGGCACAATATTTTTCTCTTAGAAAAGTGCCATGTGTCGCAGCTTGTACCACCATGCGCCATGGCGTGGTACACAATGCGTCGCGGTGCACATGATAGCAATTTTTGTTGTCATATGATAGCTCGAAAGATGAACTTTCGCTATGTGCCATTTCCACATCCGATGTCCAATTGGAGTGATTCAAGCGCCTACATGAAGCTTATAACATATTCTAGCTAATAAGATAAGTTTACATTTGATCCAATAATCCAATCAAAAATTGAACACCCTACTGTAAAAAGTCACTTTTTCTTTTAAAACTTACACCTTAAGTGCTCAATTCTCATTCCTTATCCCATTAAACCACTTTGAGCCTTGAACCAAATCCAAGTAGACTATTACACTTGATTGACACTTCATACTACATATAACACACCATATAAGCAATTTGGCCTCTCAACGCCACATTACACACTTGTGGATTTATATGAGGCACAATACATGCAACACATGTTCACATAGACTCGTTTCACTTTTAATTATCCGACTCTTATATATGGGGCTCCACCTTATCATATGGTTGAGAATTACAAATATACTCGACTTTTTAAAATAGAGCTCCGCCTCACCATTAGTGTCAAATTCTCACATATATACACAATTCACAATCAATTTCACATTCAACACATATATACAAGTTGAACAAGTTACATAATGACAAAAACTTGCTTGATTAGCATCTAGGCCCACCCATATACCAATTACTGGGGCACCCTCAGCAAGATGCAACATCATATATATATATACAAGCAAGTTTTCACAACACAATTCATATACACATTTACTTATGCATGCTAGTTGGTAACTCAAACTTTAACAATATATTATACATTCATTTCATCAATGGTAGTCATACCACTATTAAATGAAACTACTCTTTCCTCGCTTCCTTTCCCGACCTTTTAGTGCTCTCTTCACCTATATTCAAAAGCAATGGAGTGAGACTTACATCCCAGTAACTTGAAAGTAACCCCAATTATCGATTAGTAAGCAAAATCATAAACAAGAGATAAAGTATCATGTGTTTCAATCAAAGCTATTCGTATGCATATACAAGAATTCATCCTTATCAATCTCATCATGCTTATGTTTATGCATTCCTTGTTTCACCTAGCAAAGTAATCTCTATGCTCGGATCAGGACTTCTAATCATATGGAATAGGGCCTACCATACCACTGCCCAGACCAGGTCATCCTCTTCGAGTATGGGTGGTTTCCTAGGTCTGTCATGGCAAAGTTAAACTCTATGCTTTGGATCATCAAGACTTTCTAGCCTTGCACAAAGTAGGACCATGACCTACTATCCTAGTCTAGGATAACCTCATGGATCATTTCATATCTTAGGTCCATCATGGCAGAGTCAATCTCTACGCTCTAGATCATTAAGACTTCCTAGACATCCTCAAAGTAAGGTTCACGTTCCCCTACCATATTCCAAGGTATACTTGCAGATGTAATGCATGTTAATGCACATGCTACCTCAAATTCATTTTAATCAATACTCACACATCTTCATACACACTCTTTCACAACGTTGCTACTCTATCAGTTCATAACATAATGCATGTAGGTAAATAAAATACTTGTAAATAATTTCACAAACAAACTAGTAAAAGGGTTATTGCAATTACATTTAACTCTTATTACTAAGGATTACCAATCACACTAAGTTCTCAGGGGTGTAGATTC